CTCTTTCCCACAGTAAGCATTTTTTCATGTTTGAAAGTTCTTATTTACATTTGTGCAGAGAGTCATTATCTGGTAGCAAAAAAGTAGTGTGGAGGAGTAACCCTCTTGTTGTTACTATGCCTCTGTATCTTTTTCTTGCAGAAAGCAGTATAGACCCATGATGTTCAGTGTCAGCAGAACTCTTCATGTACGCACCTTTTTGTCTGCATACGTCTGTCATCCCTGCTGAGTACAATAGTAAATACACTATCTTTTTTTTTTTTTTTTAAATTAATACAAGTGTTTTTGTGGGCATCTGTTTTACAAGACCTGTTACTATGCTTGCAACCTTCTGACACCACAATGAGGTTTCAAAAGTATATTCTTGTGCATTACGAGCGTGTGATTGCATATATCATTATGAAATAAATGAAAAATTAGTTCACTGCAGTAGTTTTTATCTGAACTGATCAAAAACATCTTCCAATGATTTTTCTAACAATATGTGATTGGAATAACAACTTTACATGTTGTAGAGTTCCATGCTGCAGCCGAGAGGCATGTAAATACAAGCTGCTTATTTGCAAGAAGCTTCCAGATTTGCAATATGATTGCTATGGAAACCACACAATGAAAAGCTTATAACCATCTGTGTGGTTTGGTAGATTTTGCTGCATAGCTGAGCTGGTTTTGTTTACTGTTATTACAGTGTTGAATATAATATATTAACCCACAAACTGGGATAATCCAAGGTATAAACTAGTATTGCTCAATGACAATGTGTCAGAGACTAGAGGATAGTAGAATATCAATTAATGATGGCAATAGATTAGAGTCCAAGGTAAGAAGATGATTAAATAATGTGTTAGTAGAGGAAACTGCTAAGTTTATGCGTATTTATCATGGAGATACCACATTCCTCTGAAGGAATGCACTGTTCAAGCCCAACTCTTATCCATTTTATACTCGAGTAGTCTTGATTTTTTTTTTCTATGCTGCTCTTTAAAAAAAAGAAATTGGAGGGGAAAAAAAAAATTAATGGATTCATGTAAAAAAAATGAGCTAGTGTAGAATTCATTGTTCACTTTTTAAGTTGTGCAGATGGTAGAATCATCTATGACTAGATGATTATTTTTCTATTTTATCTTCAGACTGAAAAATAAATAAGTAAATTATTGTCAATAGTTTTAATGGACTAACTGAAAAAAACAAAACAAAACAACAACTGAACAAATACAGCTAGTTCCTTGTTGTCACCACAGGAATTTTGTAGGTTGTTTGCCGTTAGAGTCTCTGAGTACCAGCTGAGTATGGAACATAACCTGTACCTTAAGGGTTCTTTGGATCCATATCTTGGGCAGAGTTCACTGGTTTGATTAGTGTTGATTAGTCTCGTTTTGACATTGTGAGAAGATGGAGAGGAATATTTTCTCACTGCAGTGGTAGTGAGGATGTGAAGAAGACATACAGAGGAAACAATGTACCAGATCACTTTAAATGTCTGCATGACTCTAGATACATAGGATCTTAATAATACAGAAGGACCTCTATGGTATTTTTTATTTTAACTTTTCATCTTGTGACTCTATTCCTTATTGCAACAGAAACTTTAGTGTGTTGCATCTGACTGCAGCTGTAATTCCAGGGGTAATTGAGGTTGCTGTGTTTAAAGGACATCTCCTGCGCAGTAGTTATTGCTTCAGGACATGATACCAGAAAACACTGGTAAGAGCCATAGGTTCTTTTTTACTGCCCTAAGCCAAACCTATTGCATCTGCTCCACTGTGAGCATTGATTGCATTAGCAAGTAGCATGGACCATTTGCAACAGATTCATAAAGCACAATTTTGTGCTGAGGATCTGATGTTCTCACTGTGCGTGTTTCAGGAGAGGATTCCTATGGACTTACTTCAGTCTGGTTCTGTAGACTGAGTGCTCATTAGCAGCTGGACCATGTTCAATGTGCTTCTGGCGTGTCTTCTCTGGTTTAATTTCACTGGAATATTTGTTGTCTCTGTGACAACTCTGTAGCGTAAGGCAAAGTGGGATAAGTGAGGATGGTTGGGATTGAAACCAGTGTGCTAGTAAGGGCAACCTTTGAATTTGGAACCTTTTCAGTATTTAAACAGCCTTGATTCAGACTTTTTCTCATCCTCAAAGGTGGATCTGGTGAACTTTTATTTCTAGGAAATACGTTTTTCAGAAAGGAAAATGCATATGTTTTCAATTTTCTCATGAAACGAGAATGCAATCTACATGTATTCAACTGTACCTTATGAAAAATTCTCTTCAGACCTCCTCTGCTGCTTTACTTCAGTTGAAACACCCTCTACTAAAGTCCATCCTTGGTTTAAGCTAGTCTGATGACCGTAGTTAAAATCCACAATACATTCAACACATTAGTTGATCTGGGTCCAAACATTCAGCAACATGTAATATGAACATTTATTTAATCAATGTATAAATACTCTGTGTGTTGGATGAAACTAGGTTGTTCTGGGAAAAAGGAGGGTTCCTAGAAATGTGACTGATAATGGGATAATACTACCTGTGAGTGGTGTAACAGTGGTAGGGAAGCCACAGAATGACAGTGCCTCCTAGTGCTTTGGACAGCACACAGGGACGTGTTGTGGCCATCCATACTCCAACTGCGAGTGCCTAAAATAAACTGATGAGTGTACCTGGAAACGTGCAACAAGTATTATACCGAGTAGGGGAATACGTTTGAATGCAGTAAATAGTTTTGAGTGGCTTATGTTGTACCACAGCTTCATATTTTTTAAAAAACAGACGAGATTTTTAGCTAGTTAAGAGTTAGAGACCAAAAACTCTTGCTGGCTTACTAAAGCAGAATTTCAAAGCTCTTTGTAGAGTGGATCTCATGATGTAATTGTAATATTTGTAGGATTGTGTATATAGGTTAGCAGCAATTATGCATACTCATTTCAACAGGTCTGCTCTTGTGCTTTGAACATCTGCTTTAACATTTGCAGGAACAGTCTTGTGGATAGATTAAATTTTTACAAGGCTAAAAAGCCTTTGAAATGTTGATATAAAATTTACTCTTTGTCAAAGTAAATGTGCAATTACATAAAAGTTGCACAATAAGAAACTTTTTGAGAGTTCAGAGTTCTGTAGCTGTTGTCTGTCATTAATAAAATATCAAAATTAGTTGCTGAAATGTGTTCCTTAAAAAGGAGCATGAATATCTGTTTAAGATGTGATGAGTAGCAAAGCCAAATTGTTTAAATGTATTTAAAGTCTGATTCTTGTTTGAGAAATGGATTTATCAATGTACTATTTCTTCATTCAGTACAGCAGCTTTGACAGTTTTGATATACTGTAAAGGCCAAGATAAATCTGATTCTACTTCCTTATGAACCTAAAGAAATAGTACAGCAAAAAACCCTCATGGTTTTTTCCCTTTTCTGCCTCATCAACAGAACTGTTGACTGTGAAATGTGAGGAGCAGATCTTATGTCGCTCTGCTGAGTGCAGTGTGGATTTACTTAAGTGAGGGTGTGGGCATGAGAAAGTTGGTCTGTGCAGAACAAGGAGCATGAGGCACATCTTTTGAAATTGCTGGTGGGGAATTCAGAGCATTCCAAGTCTGCTAGCCAGAAAACACGCTTCAGAGTTGATTGCTGCCAGGCTTTCTCTTTTCTTGTCTCGTTTCCTAAACTTACACTAAGTTATTTGATAAGGTCTGGCTTGCTTAAAACCACAGTCAGATGCAGTATGCAGGAGCACTGACTGCGTGGCATCTGTAGTGACTGTCTTCCCATCGTGCAGTTATAGAACTGGTATGTCTGTATGATAGTGCTGAAGGTAAGATGTCCTCTGCCTCTCTGCATACTTCACTTAAGAACTTAATTCTTGCATGTATTTTTGCATGGGCTGGGGATACTTTTTTAGTCCTTTTCATTATCCTGAATAAATGTATGTAGCAGAATAGGACCCTCACCTAATTGTTTCAGAATGACTGAAAAACAGCAGAACTGCAGCTCTATATTACTGCATTCAGAGCAGAGTGCAAAGGGAAACAGATGTTCACAAGGGAGATTTTGAAAGAAAGCTCTTGGAGAGTTTGGGTGGGTGGGGGAAACCACGGAAATAACAATGTTCCAACTTCTGTACAAATGCAAAATAGCAAACAGGGCTTACGATCTGGAAATGTAGACTGTGGCTTTCAGACTGATGTGGGCTGTAATTCCTGTCAGCTGAGGTGTCCCTTCAGAGTTTCATTTGCAGTTATGTGTTTTGCAGAAGAATGTGCTCCTTCGAAGGATGAAGTGCCAAGAAAACTAAGCCAGGAGGAAGCAACCACTGTTCCACGTAATTAAAATAATTTCCTTTTTATTTTGTGTATGCGCTTTCTTTTTACATCTATTTCCGTGTCTCTTCCCTTTGCTGTTTTAAAATAATGTTTTTATAGCTCTGTAAAGCTTGTCCTTTCCACCTGGGTATCTGATGGCAGCAAAACTGCTTAGCACCACTTAGGATGCATGAAAACCACTTGAGAAGGATTTATAAAGTAAGCCAATTTATACAAGGTATTCCTTCCTGAATTACTTTGTAATGACTCAATTAGCTTTCATTTCTGCACAAAGGAGATTTAGTTGCATAAATTAGCTTATCATCACTGAGGAAGTGTCACAGCTAAAGGACAGTTTATAGATACAACATGCAGTTGCTGTCAAACCTATAAGAATGTAATATAGACATCTGTGTATACTTTGTGCTTGAGCAGAACAGACTTCTGCCATTCAGAGACTAACAGGGGACAACAAGTTGCCCAAGGGACTGGCAGTGCAGACATCTCTGAAAAGGTCAACTTGACACAGGCTCTGACAATCGACCCAAAGCTCTGTCTTCTTTGATAAAAATCAGATAAACTTAAGACCACTAATTGATCTGCAGCCTGTTTAAATGTTGGCCATGCATATCTTCATTGCATATGATTACCACAGAAAGCAAATGAATTGGGCAAGAAATGCCAGAGGCCAGTGACAGCAGCATAAAAATTGGAAAAGGACACAAATGTCCAGTAAGGCTGTGAAGGATATTCTCTCAGCTTTAGCTTGACAAACTGCCCTTGCACTAATTATCTCTGGGACTGGAAAAATAACTGCAAACATCATGTAAAGTCACACGGCCAGACAACTTTTCTTGACAGAAAGGTATTTCCAGTTATGCTTAAAAACAAGATATATATGCATTTCAAGGGCACAGACCTTTAGATAAACTATTGGTGATTTGACACAGCAAGCAGAGAAGACTTACTTCTTATCAGACCTTACACCTTTTTGAGATCTGCTGTATTGTAACTGTGACCTGCACTGACATGCAGTCTGGCTCTCCTTCCCCCATCGTACATAATACACATAATTCTTTCAGGGCTGTCAAGGAAAGGGCGGGCAAGAAGAGTTCCTTTAGGAAGTAGCTCTGCAGTGCTCTTCCTGTTGCAACATGTGGAGAGGAAACAGAGGCCTGATTTCCTGACCCACACAGGAAAGCAGGAACAGGTTGCTGTGAGGAGTTTTGGGCTGCTTTTCTTGGAAAGGAAACAAGAGCCAAGTCATCAGATGCTGTTAGCATTGTGCTCTGCTAAAAACATGTGTAAAACAACATGACTCATTACAGCCTTAATATTGAGTACTCCTTTAGACATTACTATAATTATAAGTGTGTTGTCATAATGGAGTGTGAGGTCAATCCAATTATAAAGTTGCCAGTAGCATTTTTTTTCACTAATGTATCTTGAAGTTTTAAACGGTCTTTTAAGAAATCAAAACCATAACACCTTCATTTCTGAAGTTTCAACTGCTGTGAGAACAGCCTATCAGTCTTACTAGTGTTTGTATAATGTCCTTGAAAATGCCATAACGGTTCTCCCCAGAAATCAGATTAATTTCAAGAAATAATTTTCTGATCTTATTTGATCTTACTTAGTTAACTATTTAACACTGGAAATGTGTTTGACTTTTAGGACAGAGTTGACATGAGTATTTCTGATAGGCACCACATCATAAATATCTAACCTGGCTCAAGAATATTTCTTGATTTTCCACATAAACAGCGCATACATTCTTAAAATTAATTTATGGCCTTGCTTTACTAAGCCTGATTTTCACAGGAGATATTCTGCAGTTGTCTGTGAGCTCAGTCTGATAAGTGCAATAAACTTTTCTTTGTTCCTGCTCTTTTCTTGCCCTAACTTACGTTTACTTCAGTTAACATGCAGACTTGAGTTCTTTTTATTCTTTCAGTCTTAATGCTGACTATTGCTGCTGGATAGCTGTACATTAATTGCTAGTGGCCTATTAAAAATACCAAACCATTGAAGAATTTCAGTTCTTTAATGTGGCTTGCTGGGTCTTTTTTGCTACCACTATCTACCCATTATCACTATTTCAATAAGTATCATGTTCTGTGCCATCTCAGCATAAATATCTTGATTTGAGTAACTAAGGAATAATAGGAGAAGGGAAATGAGAAAGATTGTACTGAACAGATTGGGCTGGATTGGAGGTTGAGTCCAAATAAATGCACTACAATGATTTTGCCCTTATTTCTTAATTTTGCTGGCACATGTGAAAAAGGACAAGTAACAAGCATTCGTTGCAATTTAGGGTATCATCGGAACAAACAAATAACTGTGTTCTTTAACAGGGTATGTATCATTTGGGCATTGAGAGTCAATGCTGAGAGTCTAAATCACTTGTGTAAGACAGAGTCATTCTGGTAGCATTAATTTTGAGCTTCACCTGTCTCTCCATCTTTAATCCTTCAGTATAGTAAATAATAAGTGCATCATCACTGGAAGGGGATACAGTAATTTTCCACAAGTTCACCTTTTACAAATATTAAGTAGCCTAGACTAGCAATCTTCAAATCTGATGCTATGAACTTGTGAAGAATCTGATCAAGAGTCAAGGAACATGAATCAGAATTAATCCATGGGGATTCTTAAATTTTAAGCAGTCTACAGTATTTGAAGTGCATGCTTGAGTGATACACTTGTCAGATTTTTGGTTTTTACCTCAACAGTTCACCTTTCTTCCTTTGTGCATGTATTGCCAAGTGGCAATATTTTTTTTGTGAAATAAGCAATCTGAACCTACCATCAGGAAGGCTGGCAGCTGTTGCTGCTTGATATATCCAATAAACTCTGAAGTATTTTCATCAGTATATTGGACAAAATTATCTGTTCTTCCTATTACTGTTACTGGAAAAACAGATGGCAGAAGATAACCATGAGGAATTCTTTGTTACAAGATTTGGAAACTCTTTGGTAGTTGTTCATCCAGATAGTCCTGGAATGAAAGAAGTATTTCCTGGAGAAATAACCTATCTCAAACCCTACTCAGCCACTCAGCCATTTCTTGTGATTGGTAATATTAAATGTAGTGTGTAGGTAAAACCAAACTGCTTTCTGCTAACACGTTTGTTTTTTTTTTTTTTTAATGTCTCATTCATATTTATTGCCTAAGTGACCATGCCTTTCAAATACAACAGACTTTAATTTAGCAATTATGTAACTGTAGTGTTTTTAAGACACAAAACTTTTCATAGTTTATAAGAATAGAGCTTAGTTGTGACAGAGTAATGCCACCAAATCAATACCTTTTGAATCTGAACTCTAATGGTAAGTTCTTGATGCTAAATTGAACAGCTGTTTTCAGGTATTACACATTTCACAAGCTTCACATAATTTTGTTACTGTACAAATACAAAATTCCATTGCCCAGGTATGGGTAGTATGGTTTTTTGTTTTTTTTGAATTTGGTTCTTCAGAGACAATCAAATTAAATTTGGCAGAGCCCTCCCTAACTGAAAGAGGGACTGAAGTAAGAAAGAATGGGCTTGAGTTTTACAGAGGTTTTTGCAGCATTTTTTTTGTTCTACCTCTGTGTTTGTGAAGAACTATTGTGCAAGCAATAGTACATTTTATGAAGCATTTTGTCATTTAGATGTATAGATTGTGAAGTTAATTTACAATTGCCTTTTATGTGTATGTAGTTGCACTTCCAGAACTTGGAGAAACTTGTACTAGTGAGTATGGGAGAGGATTTCTAATTTGAAATTAATATTTTTTGGAAGACCAGCACAGTTGTTCACAAACTTACGCTGTCACTTTCCTTATTTTTCACTTCTATGCTCCTGGTATACTGGTATATGGTTTTCTGAGAGGTGTGGCTTTCTGATTTAAACAACTCTGTGTTATGTTCAACTCACATATGAGGGCACAGAAGCCATGGTTAGACTTTGGGCAACATCGTCACTGTAGCAATAAGCTTATTTTTAAATGCATATTTTCTGGTGTAGCTGTGTTATTAGTTGAGTTGCTTTCCCACTTTAAGGCTTAATTAAATGCTCATGATGGGCATCTAGGCACAGATATGTCTCATTGATGTGGAATATCTTCGGTTGCTGATGTTCCCATTAATGTTAACAGGAGTTACTTCAGGCATATACAGGTAAGAACTGACCTCAAAGTGATAAAGGTCAGTGTGAAAAGCCATGATTCATTTCAGTGCAGTTCTGAAGAAGTAAAAGCCCTGATTAATGTATTTTAAATGGAATCAATAAGACAACTAATGAAAGATTTGAAAAGTGGGATATACAGAAATAGCTATTTGAGTTTTATCTCATGTTATCTTTTACGAGATAGAGCTGGGAACTGTGATGAGTGGTGTATCAGAAGAATAAGGAGAGATTCTGATTTAATATTTATCACAAGTTACTTTGGCACTAACCTGTGTTAATAACTGTCTAATCATAAACTGGTGAATAATGAGCTGACAAATAGGAAGGGCCAAAATTTGGAGGTGCAACATTTCAAACTGATTCTGCCTTTCTCTTGAAATTATTCTGTCTGTGCATATTCAATAACCACCTCTCTTTTTTCTGAATGGTTGGGAGATGATAACATATGTATATATTGCTGCTTTTGGTGTGACGACAGAAGAATTTGTGCACTGGTAGTCAGAACACCCCCTAGTGCTACATAGCAAGTGGTAGCTACTAATCACCAGTTTATAGCAAATTAAATGGTGGCTACCTTCCACAGCAGCTTTAAATTCAAAATTGTGAATATTTAGCCTTATGACTGTATTGCCATCAAAACAAGGGAGCACAGAACACAGACTGAAATGGATAAATAGAAAACTTCTTGCTCATACGGAGAGCATTAAAATTAAAATCACTCTTTGTGAAGACAGGGAAAAAGAACTTGGAAATACGGCGATATTTTTTATAGTGTGATATTTTGTAACACTTGATATTTTAGCAGGATTTTGTCAATAATAAAATGAACCAATCATGATTAAACTGTAAACTATAAATAGTGTTACAGAGTGCTAACGACATGCAAATGTGACTGTTATATGTTGGAATAACCAGCAAGCCTGCTGTTCAAGGATCATATAACAAAACTAAGATGACAGCCTTGATCCAGCCAGTTCTGTGATATTTATGTTATCAGAATTAGAAGATAGCTTTCCAGTGATCTAAATTATTAGTACATATACATTCTGTCTGCTTAGTGTATACATAATGTAACTGGTCATCTTAGTGGTATTGCTTACATTCTTTTTGCATTGACTCATCACACTCCATTCTCATGGAATTAAAAACAGGAAATAGTTTTCAGTGTAACAGAAGCACCCAGTGTATTTAACCATGTGTAAGGGCTGTGTTTCAATAGATGTACTCTGTATTGTAAGTGTATGACAAAGCATTTATTACTGTGTTATTGCCGTATTACAGAGCAAAGAGTGCTAAATAATCAATCAGTTAATGGTCTGTATGGCAGCTTGAACACAGCACATCCATTGTGCTTATGCTGTTAGAAGGATGAGTTTATGACTGTAGTGTAGTTGTGTAGTTGCATGTTTAGCCAGAGCTTAATGCGCTAAACTGGAGCTGACACAAATATTTTTAAAATGCAGCTTCAGCAACAGTTTCCAAGTTCTCCAATATTTCAGAAGGAACAATCAAGGATTGTCTCAAAGGTTCTCAGGGAAGTTATTTGGTTTTGTTAGATTAGGAGAAAAAGGGGGAGCGTATCACAAAATACTTATTTTAGCTTCCTTTCACAGAGCATTATTAATTCTATTCTAGCAATTTTATCAGTTTCAAGCTGAGATACAAATACAGCTTTGCTGGAAATATATTAGTAGAGGAAAACTAGCTGCTTTAAGTTGCAGCTGGAAAATGCTTTGAGAAACTATGATCTATGATTCTATAACCTGTAGCTACATGTCTTTAAGTGACACAACATGCCAGTGAAGGGCTTGCATTAAACTTGTTTTCCACTTGCTTTTGTGGTATGAAGGAGCTCTTTCTCAAAAGAGGAGTAAGAAATGGGCACTAATAAATTGCTTTGTACTATCTGGAGGTTTACAGAGTAACTTTAGTCCTTCAGTATGTATGCATTTGTAATTAGATGCCGTTTTCTTTGCAGAAAGTGAAAATACCGATTATGCCAATTTTTATCAAGGTTTGTGGGACTGCACAGGAGATGAACCTGATGAGCTGACATTTGAACGTGGTGACGTTATCTACATTCTCAGCAAGGTATGGGATGCTCAGTAGGGCTACATAGTCGTAAAAAGAGCCGTGGCAGAAGGGCACATTCTCACAGTCCTATGGGGAGAAATTGGCACTCCCTTTCAGTTCCTTTGTTTGCAGTTAGATATTCACTGCAATGGATTATTTTTCCAAATTAACTATAATCACATTTAAAACATAGCTCTGTAAACAGGAATTAACTTAAAAGCATGTTTATGTACTTGCTAAATCTTAGCTACCATTTGATAACTGATTTAACAGGGGACAATGTGCTTTCTGCTTGTAGAAGTTAACGTGGATTTTTAAATTATCTTCTATGTTATGTTTTTTGTTTCCTGTTTTATATTCCTGGCTGTGCTGATTCTGACTTTTTGGACATCTTGCTACAGAAGTTAGTTTGGTTTTTTTTTGAAGTGTGCTTTCATCTTTGCATGTATATTGTAATTGTCCTCACAGCTCAGATTCCAAATTTGTTTTCTCTGACAGATTTGGGCAATTTTTAATTTACTGCTTTCTGTTTGCAAAGCAAATGAGAAATATAATTCCAGTAATCTAAAGTGTTAATACAGTATAAGCATGAAATTTTTTTCTACTTTAATGTCGGTTAATTTTCTTATTTTTCCTTACCCCCTCCCAACAAAAACAGAACCTCACCTAAAATTTATATCTTATGGCCCATTGAAGTCTAATTCTGAGTGATTCACCAAAGGAAACCTCTCTCTTCCCCATAAATTAGAAAAAAAAGCTGAGCTTTTCAAGTTCTCATTGAAAAAAAAAACAACTTTAAAAATATATGTAGAATATACATATCAGGTGTAATTGCTGTTCAGTATAACTAATGACAAAGATATTGTAGGTCATTGAAATATCCAAATAGGTGCAGGAAAGCTAAAGGCATCTGTTTGTCTTAGTTTCAAACACTTCAGTTTTGTCACAATTGCTTTAAATCTTCCATGATACCTTTAACTGCAGTCTTTCTGGATAATAAATGTAGCAGCTTCTGTTTAATAAATTTAAGATTTATGGATAGAAATATAGTCCTATATAAAAATATAGAAGATGTATTACAAATGTAGTAACGTGACCATGTATGTCTTTTGAAGTATTTCATTGTCACTTAAACTAATAACTGAATCGCATTACTAAAGGCCAGATAACACTCTTGGATTGGGCAGATTTTCAAGCAGTTACAAAGCACTGAAGAATGGTACTAATTTAAAATAACCACCTCTTCCTTCTCTTCCTCCCCTAAAAAAGCCCATGAGCAAATGGACCCCACTGTACGAATCTGGCCTCTTTGTGGGTTGTGCTTTTTTAGTACAGTACTGGATCTGTAAAATCTTCATCTTCAGCTTGTCGGTGAAAAAATAATTTCTTACTCCTTCCCCAAAAAAAGTAAGAAATTTAATTTAAAAAATTGAGCCAAAAAGTAAAGCAGTCACTTAAGCTGTGCTCTGTATCTCAACTGTCTTGTGGTAATACCGTGATTAATCCTTAATCAGTCCTTGAAACAGGCTTGCTGCTGCTGCAGATATATAGAGCCTCTCTCTTTGGGAATGATTTCTACTCCAAAATACAGCCCAGAAGATTCAGCCCTGTTTCACTTAAAGATTGGTACAGCTCTTTTAGAAAAATGAGTGTTGGCTACTACTGTCAGCTCTGAATTTAGGGTCCCAGGAGAGGAGTGTCAGAGGATTACGCACCTTAACCCTCCATTTGATTCAGTTTCAAGGTCTGTTTATGAGCTCTTTGTCTGGTAAGTGAAAATATAACCAAAGGAAAAGTGAACCTGACCATCCTGAAGTGGGTCAAGACTTTTCTTCAAAAAATAATTCCTAATCCACTACATGAATACCTGTATTTGGGGGCAGTAAGCAAGAATCCTTGGCAATTTTTTTTTTTATTTTTTCACACCATCTAGTGGTTGAAAATGAGAAATACAGGTACTGACAGGAGGCCATGTGTATGGATCCAAAATGGTGTCATAAATTCAGCTTCATCTTGAACCTAGCTGTGGCTTTATTGCCTTTCTATCATATGTCAGCCAGGTATGAACATTACTCTTGAAAATCACATTTTGCTGGTAAGGAAGTCAGTACAGGTATAGCAGTATTATAGGAGGAAGAGTGAAGCATTAACAAAATATCCACTATATTTGTGCAACCTGTAATAGTTCTTTGTTTTACAGTGAAATATAAGTAGTATAGCTTGCTCTGACGAACGTGGTAAGATAGATATTTGTCTCTCCCAGCAACAGTTATGCCGAAGCAATATAATTTTACCTGCTTTTGACATGCTTTTGTAAACGTAAGGGAAAAGTGACTATTTTGTTTCCAAGAAATGAGATCATTAGTACAACAGAAATAATTAGGAACCAGTTTAGCAAATTTGGGCATTGATATAATTTAAATAAAGCAAGATGAGAAATATGACACATGTAAGTTTCTAGGGGAATGCCTTTTAGAAGAATGAGCAAGGTTTCAGTTTGGCAATGTTTACTTCCTAAAATAGCTAAGCATTGCGCAAAGACAAATCCCACCTAATTTGCTTTAAAATTATCATGAAAATTCAATGTTAGTGCAATAAGCATGATTTGCATGCTTGTACTCTGATAATACGAATATCTATGCCTGACTAGTGTAATTACCGTAGGAAAGCATTTTTTCCTTGTTTTAAAGGTGCATTCAAAAACTGTTTTACTTATTATCTAAATATTTACGTCTGTTGTGGCTTTTGTATGGCAGCAGTCCATGGGCTCTTACAAAAACAAATACAAAACTTTTTTCTGCCTTTGAGAGTTTCCTTCAAAAACTGAGTTTCTAATCTGAGCAGAAATAACAGAACTGTTGCAATAGTAGTTGCTAAAAATTATTTATTTGAAAAATAGTTAGCTTTTCAGATTAATTATCAGTGAGTCTGTACAGATAAATTCATACTATTATCCTTTTAATTTATAGTATTCTTGAATATTCAAGTGGCTTTTATAACTTCTGCTATGAATAATGAACATTCAGAAAACTATATACCTCTCTGTTGCTATGCAGTAGAGAACTTTTTACACCTTTAGTGGCAGAGGGACTCATTAATAAGATTTCTTAGGTAATATTGACTTTTTAGTTAATACTGACTACTAGAAATGCAATACGGGGGCATCCTGTTTTCTGAAGGGATGATTGCTCTTAACTCCTGCTCATTTATGGGCTTGCCTTTGCTCTCAAACCCATATGACAAATGGGGAAATAAACTGTGACATAGAAGTCCTTTTTATAAAGCTTCCATAGCTTTACTCAAGAAATCAGTTTCCAGAAACAAAAACAACTCTGAGTTGAGGTAGCCCAATTTTTTTTTTTTTTTATTTTCTTTTTTTTTTAAGTTTGATATGTGTAGTTTATGCAAATGCGGCACTTGCAGCATCTGTTTGCTTTAGGTGTATGTTTTGTGTTGGGAAATTCCATAGTTTCATCAGCCAAACACAAGTAGTAGTGCAAACTTACTTAGATGTTAGCAGCCACCTGCTTAGTAGAATTACTGACATTTCTTAACTTTTAAGCTAATTTAATTCCCATCTCATTTATGTTTATATTTGCACAAAAACAACAAATAACACTTCAGAAATTGTATTGTAGACTGGAATTCTCCTTCCCTGATACTATTGCAGTACATGCCAATGCAATATAATGCTGCTTACTCTGGTATTTATGATTCATGGAAATTTCATCTATGACTTAACCCTTTGCTCTAGAACTTTCCATGAAGGTAGGATGTTGACTGAGTATGTACATTACCCTTCATTCAATGGTTGTACATTTCCAGTGTGGCAGATTTTTATTCTTTCAATACAAGACATGTCTGTTAAAATGCTTACATCTCAAACTGTATTTTTTGCTTAGCGAGAAGACAAACAAACAAAAAAATCCCTAGCTCAGATTACTTCTTATGAAATAAAGTATTTTAACAGTGCAGCTGTTTCATAATCAGTGTCAGCATTTTGTACATTACCTGTATAATGTTCATTAAATGTGTCTATTTGGTATTTTTCAAAAAGATGTGAAAGGCATACTAAAATCCCAGGTGTTTTTTTTTTTTTTCTGTGAAGCTATTTTCAGACTGATTGTACTGACGTCCATATTTAAAAGTAATTTGTCTTTCCATGACCACACTGCCTATGTCTACCGTAGCAAACAGGGAATACCAACAGGAGCAGGTTTGTGGAATGGAACAGAGTGCTGAGGTTCTGGCATCCACAATGTGCATTTTCAGAGGGGTGTGATATACAAAAAGGTCTAGCCTGGTGTGGAATTGAGAACGTATTAGTGGTTAGAAGACACTCAAGTGCATCTAGATAGTGTGTGTGCTCTGAGACTTACAGCTCTGCAAAGCGAGCTAAGGTGAGCAAAGTGGGAGCGTTGAGAGATTCACTTCAGTGAGATGCTTCTGATCAAAACTAAAATGTAGCTCTAAGTTGTACATCTTCTACTTCTGGCTTGTTAAGGTATATTCCTTACAGGGAAAACAAAACCCCCAAACCATAAAATGGCTAAACATAAGAGCAAAGACCTTTAAAGGGAAGGTTAGTTAAAGTAGACTAATGCAAAATGGCTCTAGCTCTGTTGGTTTGCATACTGATAATATGTGTTTATTTACCTGATTAGGAAAAAATTTTGCATTGTGTCATCTAATGGAAAATTAAATGCTCCTTCTGTCATTCCAGGGTGTTTTCAGCGGCCAGTTTTGGTTCACAATTCAGTCTGCTGACCCTGATTTATATTTGAGCTCTTTAGTGGGTTTCTATTTTGTCTCATGTCATTGCAGGAAATAAAACCTAATAATGTAACCATACAATAAATCTGAGGCTTATATTCTTAAAGATGACCATTTTATTGCTGTCTTAAAACAACTCTACTACCTGTGAAGAAGCCTCATTCAGTTATCTAAAACGTTTGTCATTTTCTGCTTTTTAGTGAAAATGCTGTTCTGTGCCAAAAATGCTCCCTGGTTGATAGTGTATCATTCAGCAATTACACCAAAGGAAGTTTTAAATTTTTTTAGGTCGTTTGAATCTCCTGGATGAATTGGAGGGGTTTTAAAATATTATCTTGCCAAAATTGCCCCCCAGGATATTCTGGGAAAAAAAAAAATTTCTTCCTGCTTCCCACACATCTTTAGCTTGAGAGGAGGGGCTACTTATTTTAACCTCAAACAGGGCTGTAGATACATTTTGCTTTTGAGTTTTGAAGTGTGCAGATCTTCACCCCATTAAGTTAATATTACTTACAGTGCCACTGGGAGACGGCAAGAGAGAAATCTTGAATTCACACACTTTAGCTTTTTTTAAAAAGACAACTCCATTGTTTTCTTGAAGGCACTGAAATACAATGATGATTTTCAGCAACTGTTTTTAAAAAGCAAAACAACAACAAAAAAACCCACCCCACAAACACAAAAACCATACCATATGTATTGAACAATACGGACTAATTGCACAAGGACCAGATGTTCTCAACTTTTGCTGAAGTCAGTAGAAGTTAATATGGTGCAAAGCATCTGGAGATCCTCATTTACGCAGAGGATCTGCTCTAAAGGTAGAGACTGTTCTGGAAATCCTCTTGCATATAAACATTTTCTCTTCTGGCATATGAATATTCGATATAATACAAATATCTTTGATTTAGAAGATACTTGTAAAAAACTGGTAGTGTATTTCTACCTGTGTTTTCCTCAACTGGAAAACCCTTTATGATCAGTGTCTCTTGAAATCGTAGGTACTCACACATCAGTGCAGTGAAACTGGTGGGATGGGGACAAGGAGAAGCATCTGCTCACAGTGTGTTCTGTTCAGAGCATTTAAGGAGCCTGTAAACCCCGATGCTTTTTTTTTTTTTTTCCCCGGGCTCTCATAGCATGCTGTACGGAGAGTGTTTTTCCAGAATGCTAAATCATAACCTGTTCCTTGAAATGACTTCACTTTGGTTAATACATTTCTGCTGGGGGGGTGGGTTGGGGGTGGGGAAATCCACTCTGCAGACAGTGAAAACACCGAAGTAGCTTAGAAAGCATTCAGTCATTCGTTAAAGTTGTTGTATCGTATTATTTGGCATAATATATTCCCGTGCCCTGGTGGTTGTCCTGCAGGGGTTGCGGTGGCCCCTTGCTCCCCCGCCCCTGGCTGGCTCTGCTGGTATGGCGTTGTGCTCCCAGTCACATGGCAGAGCCCCGGCGGCACACTTGTGCATTCTCCTCATCGCAGGGCTGCTGGGTCTGGCCCTGCCCCCCTCTCCCATCCCTCTGTTTGCCTTGGAGCAATTCATTTTGCAGTTATTGAATTTCTTTGGAGAGTTATTTTCATACAGCGAGCATCACAGCACCTCTGGATCTTGATAGCATTTCTACATAAGGAGAAAGAAGCTTTGTGTTAGTAATTACCTAACATTGTCAAGAGCTGACTGCAGGCCTCTTTCTAGTGATAACAGAATAACCACATAATGTAGCTTTATAGCACATGATTAATAGAAAATAATTACACATCCTACAAAGGGATGCAATATTTCTTATAAATTGACTACAATGGTTTCCTGTAGATTAAAGGACTCTTTATTATTTTATCAGTCCTTCTGAAGTATAGTCGCTCGCCTATGTTAGCAGTGATGTTAAGAGCTGAATACAGTGAGGGATACCAGATGGTAAACCCAGTGGTACCTGAGATCTGAAGCTAATGCTTGCAAAATCCCAGCTCTTAAAAATTAATATAAAACTCCTAACTCTATTCATACCCTTCTGCATGGAAATCACCATTTCCTGCAAATGTGGGCTTTAGAATCTTATTCCACACATCTCAAGCAACAGCAGTAGTCATATGGACCTCACAACAGCAGTGTATTAATTAAATTATACTGCTGTGAAGGAGCTTATAATTGGTTACATTCATAGAAACAATGCATCAATTTGGATTTTATATGTGACTCCAAGAAACGACTGGGAGGGACTGCTTATCTGCCTGACTAGTAAGCACTCCTCTGTGGTACTGAGGACAGGAAGGAGTGGTTAGGAGTTTAAAGAGAAATGTCTACACTTTAATCAGTTTAAAAGGGAATGCTATCTAATTATTCTAAAACCTAAGATGAAAGTTTTATGTTCTTGATAGCCAGGTATCTGAATTATATTTTTGTTCAGACTTCTGTAGACTACAGATAGTTTAATTTGGATTCATGTTGCTCTTGAGACCCATGCAAACAATAGTAATGCGAAGTAAAAGCTTCTGTGTTGCACTGTTGTCTGTATGGTATAATGGTTTCAGTGAATCCTTAAATTAGTTTGCTAGTCTGTTACATCAACATTCATTTTTATCTTCTCACTTAGCTTTGTGCCAGAGCAGTAAGTGGTGTATTAGTGAGTAGCAAAACCCAGAAAGTTTTCAAAACAGCAGCATGCTTTTAATTTTCATTTGAGGTATCTGAATTGTTTCTTTAAAAACAATTGTTTCTAAGTTCGTGTAGTGCTGCTAAGTGGAACATTTTCAATGGATCATGTAGTCCACAGGCTTTTTCTATGCCATTTGTCATATGCAATTTAATGACCACTTAACTAAGCCACTTCCCTCATTTCATGTATTATTTGTGTTTTTGGCTGATGTCTAGCAAAACTTGCTTAATCACTCTTGTCAGTCACTTTACTAGTTCCATGCAACAGCTTAAAATATTTTTATGCCTTCTCTCAGAGATTTATTGTTGAGATTCCAGTAGTATACATGAGTACTGCTCCCTTTCAGCAGTTTCCCACTTCAGTCTAAAAATCCAGTTTGTATATTTAGCCAGTGTATTGTGAGATAAAACATAGATTTTTAAACAGCCTGATCTGGAACATTATAAACCTCAGTGTCAGGGTATTATTTAGCCTTCAAGGATTTGGGGTGTAATGTGTAGCCCCATGGGAAAGCTTATAAGCAGTTCTTAACTTCTGTAGAGAGCAGTTTGCACTGAAGATCATGTTCAGATACCTCTAGACCTTCAGACCAGACCCATCCCCAGCATTCTGTTCTGCAGTGGAAGGGGGAAGAAAGTAGAATTATTTTTGCAACTTTCTTGGTTTTGTGTTCATATCATAAATTAAGGTTTTCCTGCTCCTTTTTATGTGGATTTTCTATAAATCACACTTACTGCAGTATTTTAAGGTGAGTAGGAAAGAATCTTTTAAATCACAAGTTCATTGTGAAGGAAGAAAATATTTAAGACTGGCATTCAGCTTTCTACAATGAGAAAATATAAACGTGTGTGTGTGTGTCTGCATGCAACGTGCATTGAAGTATGTTCAATTAAAAAAAAAAGCCAATAATAATAATAAAAAAAAGCCTGAGCCCATATGAAAGTGAGCCATCAACAGGGCTGTGTTGTGAGCTGAGTACACCAAGCACCTCATAGGACCCTAGAGAATTCACCACCGGGCCCAAGATGCCAGCAGCAAATCATTATAGCTCAGGCTCTAATGAAACACTATTAACCCTTTGATCCATTTGACTATTTAGAACCAAAAAACTTTATCTACAGTAAAAATAAGAGCTTCATCTCAGTAACACCATTAATTCAAAATCCTACAGCCTTTGGCTTTTCTCGTCAGAAGAGCAGTGTAGCAGGAAGCAGATGTTGCTTATCAGAGATATCTGTATTTTGTATTTTCCCTGTTTGTTCCAAAGTAATTTCCATTTTACTAAACATTCAATTTTGAATGGGGTCTCTGTTTTAATAATGCTTCATTTGTAACTCAATATATGTGTGTGTGCAATTTCAGCTGTTATAATTTATTGAACCACTGTTAGGATTGATCTTAAAATATTTACCTCATAGGAAAAAAATTAAATTTGGATCCCACAATACTCTTACTTGGTATTGCTTTTGGAAGATATTATTTCTTTAAACTATTATAATTCATTTTGTTTCATATTTATCTCACTAAGCCTAAACAAATTTAAAACAAAAGTACATTAGTCATCTGTCAGACAGATGAGATCTGCCGTAGAATTTTCTGTAAGCCTAAAGCAATAGTAGACTTTGTCCGTAGAAAGAGATTATATATTAGATATATAGTGTTCCCTTCACATTTGAGTGAAGTAGTTCTTTTAAAAGAAGTTGATTGTAAGTTTCTTAAAGTTTAGCATCATGATACTGAAAAAATCCTAGCCGATTTTTATACGTCAGCATTGTGCTATTAGATTTTAGTTGCAGAGATAAGATTTTTATATTTGTGCTGAATAAAGAATGGAGAGGTCAGCTATTTTTAGTAAGTGTTATAGAGAAGTGTGGCCGTAATTAAGAAATTTGCTGAATATACCTGGCTTTTTTAAAATTTAACTTCTGTCTTTGCCTAACTCTGCATGTGAATGGCTCTAACAGAAAGATACAATTTTTTAATTTTCAGTTGAAACTATTATAACTGTATATAAGAGAAAGCATCCATAAGGAGTTGCAAACAAAACTCTATTGCATTTATATCAGACTAAAGGTTAATATTGCATATTGTTTTCAATTAGGAGTACGATAGCTTTGGCTGGTGGGTAGGAGAAATGAAAGGAACCATTGGCTTGGTGCCTAAAGCCTACATAATGGAGATGTATGATATTTGAGAGGCCTGGGTAAGTACATTTTAATCCAATCTTCTGTAATGGCTTATATGTTCCCTTGTTCTCTGTTTCATAAGTATTTCTTTCCTGGAACCTTTGTAGGAGTCCTGTTAACATAAAGATTATGGCAAATATATTGAAGGTTCAATTAAAGCACTTTTTCTAGGATTCTATATGAAATATTAAACCACAGTGTACAAAAGAGGATGTATTTTATAACTGTGTTCCTTTTCCGGATTATTTTTTGTTTGTTAAATAAAATTGGTGCAATTTCTGGTTGTTTGTTACTGTAGTAATATGTATGTATCTGTCTGTGCAGAAAACTGTGGAAGGGGATAGATATTTGGAATGGGTTTGATATGCATGTTTGAGGTTTTTTGGTTAACAATGAACTTTCAACTTCCCTCTCCCTAAACAGGAGAAATCTGCACTTGAAATCACGAGTGGCGTGCAGCTGCAGTTTACAGACACGACCTTTGAAAGAAGATTCTGCCGTACACATTCCATGGCTTCAGTGAATGTAGTCACATCTTTTCCTTGTGTATATTAAACATTAAAACCTGTAATAGGTCATAATTCTGCAGAAATGTTCTTCTTAGCCACTTCTTATAGAACTTTAATGCTAGGGAATAAAATAGATGGTAATTAACATACGGGGCACAAGCAGATGAATAGTGCCTGTTGCTCTTTTCTTAGCATATTATCAGCACTCTGTGTAGCTATAGGTTCTTTCAGGGAATTTGGCTATGTTTGCCTGTTCCTCAGATTTAGAAAAATTAAGCTGAACTTTGAAAGTAGAAAGCTATTACTCATCATCAGTGCATTAACCTTTTAGTGCTCACTGTACATTTTGTGTAGTTTCTTAGGAAATTCAGGGAAATCTATGTGTAATATTCCAGGTCTTCAAGGTATTCTGCTTCCAAATGTTTTTGTAAAATGTTTTAGTGTATGATTTATTTTTCTTATATATTTTCTTACCACAAAATGAAGGTGGGTTCTTTTCCTGTTGTAATTAATTGGCCTGTATGGCAAAACTGCCTTGATAACCATTCTGACTTGGAAATATGAATTGTGGAAATTTCTAAAAAGATAATATATTAAGACCTACATTTTTTTGCCAAGTCAGCATGAGCTAAATGCAAGTGAGAATGATTTTTGACCACGGTAGTGTGGAATATTTTATCTGTACCTTACAGACAGTTTCACAGAGTAAGATCTGGAAAACTTATTGATACGTGGAATTTGTGATACAAGTTGTGCAGCAGGCATCTCCATCTCTACCTGGATTACTAACAGCTACCCACAATTTTAGTGTAAAATCCAGAACCATGTGGCTAAAACCATCAATCAAAACATTAAAAAGTCCACTAAAATACTAGGACTTGTGGTTGGGCAAGTCAGAGTTAATACTTAAAATATCCTTGTTTTGGAGATGTGCTTTACTCTTAGCATGCAAGATCAACTTTTTCAGTCCTCCCACACACTTGATTTGTGAGACCCTTAATCTGCCAAAGAGGCAGGTCAAGCCAGTCTGCAAATTGCTGAGCCTGCACAGGTCCCCTTGTAGTTGCTTGTGCTGTTTATGCTTCAGGCGAGCCCTGGAAACACTGTGGGTTAAAAGGTGACGTTAATCTGAACTCAGAATTAGGTCCTTTCAGTAAACTAAGATGTTGCACTTTATTTTAGCTAGTGTATGATACTTGACGATACACTGGATTCCAATAGGAGTCAAACACGGTACAGAGTTTTGTTGTAATTTTTGAAAAAAAAAAGAAATGAGATAGTCATTGAAATTGATTCTGTACGTTATCAGTGAAGCTTTAAAATGATAGATTATAGTCTTCAGATCTTTTACTACTTTAATTTATCAAATGTACTTGTGGATTGTGTACAGAATGTGAAGCGTTAATATCAAGGCTGACAAAGCGCCTTGTCTCTTGCTAACATGGCAGCGTAATAAATCTGCCCGCCAAAATGGCTTTTGGTTAATTATGTAACTCCAAATTCCACCGTCACCCGCATTTTGGGGAGTCAGTGCCTCCCGTGTCGTTGAGACGAAGAGAGAAACTTGACTGCGGTGGTGCGGGGGAGCCGGGATCCCGCAGCCCGGGGCACGGGGAAGGGGTGGCGCGGCGCG